GGGTAACAAGAGTGAAACTCCGTCCCAAAAAAAAAAAAAAAAAGAAATGAAAACATGGCCATGTGCAGTAGCTCACAACTGCAATCCCAGCACTTTGGGAGGCTGAGGCAGGTGGATCACTTGAGCCCAGGAGGTTGAGACCAGCCTGGCCAACATAGCAAAACCTCTTAGCTGGGTGTGGTGGTGGGCTCCTGTTGTCTCAACTACTTGGGAGGCTGAGGTTAGAGGATCGCTTGAGCCCAGGAGGTAAGGCTGCAGAGAGCCATGATTGCACCACTGCACTCTAGCCTGGGTGAGAGGGAGACCCTGTCTCTAAAAAAAGAAAGAAAACATGTTCATACCAATACTTGTATATGAATGTTTATAATAACTAAAAGTGGAAACAACACGTGTCCATCAACTGATGAACAAAATGTGATATACCCAAACAAGGCAGTCTTACTCAGCTATAAAAAAATAAAGTAGTGATACATGATACAACACAGATGAGCCTTAAAGACATCACATGTGGGTCCAGAGGTTCAGTATGGGAAGATGAAAATAGTTCTGGAAATGGGTGGTGTTGGTTGTTGAATAGCCATGTGAATGTACTTATTGTCAGAGAAATGTATTCTTAAAAGTGGTTAACATGGGGGCCAGGCACAGTGGCTCATGACAGCCATCCCTGTGCTTTGGGAGGCCAAGGTGGAAGGATTGCTTGAGTCCAGGAGTTCGAGGCTGCAGTGAGCTAGGAGAGCACCAGTGCATTCTAGCCTGGGCGGCTTTGTCTCTGAGGAAAAAAGATAAACGTTAAAATAGCAAGTTTTATGTTATGTATATTTTACCACAGTTTTTAAAAAATCATGTGAAGTGAAAGAAGCCAGACACAAAAGGTCATATATTATTCCACTTACAGGAAATGTCCAGGATAGGCAAATCCATAGAAACAGAAGGTAGATTGTGGTCATCTGGGGCTGGTGGGTTAGGGAGCGGCAGAAATGGAGAGTAACTGCTAATGGATACAGAGATTCTTCTTTTTTTTGGGGGGGGGGTGTTGATAAAAATGTTCTAGAATCAATGTGATAGTTGCACAACCTATACTTAAATTTACTGGATCATACATGTTAAAGCTGTAAATTGTGTGGCATGTAAATTGTCTTAGTCTGTTTTGTGTTCCTATAACAAAATACCCGAGACTGGGTGATTTATAAAGAGAAGGGATTTATGGCCAGGGGTGG